TTGCCAGAAGTTGTCGGGGACATAAATTAATTGCAAATGATGCTAAAGAATGTGTTATTGCCTTATTAAAAATTTGAATTTGTTTCTACAGTTGTGGAGCGTATCTTGAAACAATCACAATATGAACTAAAGGTTGGTGATTGCGCGCACACCATTATAGTGGAACCAATCACAAATGCACAACTGAACAAGTTGCAGGTATGTCTTAATAATTTCTACATTCTTCCAGGAATATTCACTTACTCTTACAAGTTATCCCGACTGCTGATAAATTGAGCAACCTTTTTGTTTCCAGTAAAGTCTGCTTGGATTGGCCCTCAAGTGATTGGGCTTTACTTCTAATAGCGGTCTTGTCAAGCTAAAGAGTAATGTTTTGATACTCCATACCGGCATGCTCATATCTGCCATTTAACACCGTGGCAAAACAAGACGGCCATAAATCACATTTACATCTAAATAAAAAGAGAAATTAATAAAACCTAGACGACAATAGAATAAGAAAGACGTATAAAAGGAATCGGCTATGAGAAGGAAAAACGACAATTGAGAAGGAAGCTGCCGAAGTGGTAACAATCCCCCCCCCCTTCCGTATCCCACTATATGCTAACAGACCCAATCAGGAGACGTTCCTAATCATGTTTTCTCTCTCGGGGGGGGGGGGGTGAAAATCTTTATATGAGCAGAGATTTTAAATATGACATTTATGAGGATTCCGGATGCCTCAGGAGTACAGTCAACCCATACATGACCTTTCAGATGCTGTAGTACTCCTCCATTGCATGTGAGGGATCTCAGGGGTTTAATTGTTATTCCAAGCACCACAACCACTACATTGTTTTGAAATGGTCACAGCGCAAGGATCCTGTGTATCGAGCGCTGCACATACTTAAATATTTCATGTAACTCCCCGTTCAACAGCCTTCATTAACCAACCTGGAATATGAGTTCTGGGCTGGCTGACTCTGCAATTAAATGATGTTTTTAATGTTAATTTCATGCATACTCTTTGCTCACAGTTTCATTCAGTGGCTGAGAACACTCAGATGATGCTCTCAGCCAATGAATGGGTGGCAGTATCAGCGTTGAGAGGATGGCTCAGATCATGACGAGATCCAAGTAAGAGGCAAATTGTTGAAAAACTATTTGCCCCTTAACAGTGTAATGGTGCCATGGTACTCTTGGCATCTGTGATTCTCATGTTTGGAGTAACCCTTTAAATATAACGAAAAATGGTGATCAGTGTAGGTATGGCACAAGAGACAATGTTTGCATTTCAGGGTGGCCTGGCTGCCCTGCAGACCCTTGCGACCAGGTTTCCCCCCTGCTGGGGCCCCACGTTCAAGTAGCCCATCAGGTGGCCCATGCTGTTAGGGCCACCCAATAGAGATGAATTTCCAGGGGGCCCCGGTCAGCGCTGCGGTGCTTTAACAGCACGACCGGGCCCCCTGTGATGACATCACAACTGGGATTGCCCGTCACTCCTCCTAGCTATAAGCGAGAGCCCCAGCGGGATGAAGGAGAGGGAGTCAGAGTGGGAACTCTGACTCCCACCAGCCTGAGCCACAACTGGACCCCAGGGAAAGTCACCCTCTGAGTCTTGCACCTAAAAGGTAGGAAACAGGAGGGTGACTTAAACATTTTGTATATATGTGTTTTTGTTTGTATGTATGTGTGTGTCTCTGTATGTATGTTTGTATGTATGTGTGTGTGTCTGTCTGTCTGTCTGTGTGTGTCTGCCTGTGTCTGTATGTATGTGTGTCTGTATGTGTGTGTGTGTATGTGTCTGTCTGTCTGTATTTATGTGTGCCTGTCTGTATCTATGTATGTATGCATCTTTGTATGTATGTGTGACTTGTGTCTGTCTGTGTGTATGTATGTGTCTCTGTATATGTGTCTGTGGGTATGTTTATGTCTGTGTGTATGTGTCTGTGTGTCTGTGTGTGTGTGTCTGTATGTGTGTGTCTGTATGTGTGTGTCTGTATGTGTGTCTGTGTCTCTGTATGTATGTGTTTATGTGTCTGTGTGTATGTGTCTGTGTGTCTGTCTATATGTATGTGTGCCAGTCTGTCTGCATGTATGTGTGTGTGTCTGTCTGTATGTATGTGTCTTTGTATGTATGTGTGTCTTGTGTCTGTCGGTGTGTATGTATGTGTCTCTGTATGTGTATGTATCTGTGTGTATGTGTCTGTATGTATGTGTCTGTATGTATGTATGTGTCTGTGTGTATGTGTGTATGTATATGTCTCTGTGTGTATGTATGTGTGTCTGTATGTCTGTGTGTGTGGCTGTCGGGGGGGGAGGGAAGGCCATGGATCAGTTTCACACCGGGGTCCCATGGATTGCGTGTACGTCACTGAGTGACAATAAGATTTCAAGGATGCTTTTACAACACAAATAAGATATGTAATGGTGTTTAGGATTTCAAGTCATGTAATCTATTGTTATGTTTTGTATAAGTACGTGCACAGGACTCTTACATCCTGGTTGCATTATGTTTATGCTGTTACTCCATGTGAAGGCTGTAAATCTCTCTGTGTAAGTTCTTGATGTAGCCCGTGTACTTATTGTTTCCATAGAAAGGATATATAGATTGACCCATAGGCAAAGGTGGGTTAGCACATGGAATACCCTTATTGTCTCACTAAAAATCAAAATCTGACGACCAGGAATAATAGTGCCCGTTCATATTATGCCTTCCCTTCATATAATACAGTGCCAGTATTGCAGTAAATTAATTGAAAGGTAAATTTGGCAATAATGTCCAAATGATCAAACCAGATGCAACAGTCAAGTTAACGTCAAAATAACTGGAAACCAGCTATGCTTTCAGTTTGGCTACTCTGGCCTTCAATTTTAAATTCACTTTGATTTCTCAGTTTAGTAAATAACCCTTTCTGGCTTTGGAAACCATCGTAATACATTCTTCCAAAAGGTGTTGGGGGGCCATCTTGTGGCTTAGTAGAAATATTACATCAGAAAAAATACACGCATCATACTTCTCCAAGTATAAAACAGGACCTTTGTTTATTACATGGGTTGCATCTATTGCAACTATCATGATATTTTACTTTACTGTATATACCTTTCTTACATACTAATAATTTAAAGATCATTAGTTGTGTTGATTTTGTTCATTGGGTATATACAAAAATATAGAATAAACAGAAAATAATTATTAATCTCCCAAAAGGAAGACCTTGGTATTTCCATGCTGTACACCCTTTCTCTTTAATTGGGCGTTTCTTCATGTGTAGATACATTTTTCAATTTTCAACCATAAATATGTATGTATGCATTTATATACATTAAATTAATTTACTGAAATTTTTTATGTTTCTGTGGCAGATCTTTTCAACAAATTCTTCAAGAACAGTGCTTTTATCTGAAGTTAAAAACTTAAAGATCTCTGAAGAGGACATTCAAGATACTATTGAGATTTATTTCCAAAAGCCAAGCAATGGCGGTGGAGAGGTCGAATGGATTTTATATACACAGGATAAAGAGATTGTGCCACGCTTTGAGGATGACTTATAATAACTTATAATGATTTATAGTAGTAAAATGAAGGAAACCGCACTCACCTGGCTGCCGAGATGCACTAGATCCAGGGATGGCCAAACCCCAAGTTAGACATATGTAATAAAGCAGTGGTCCAGGCCCTCAAGGTGATAGCCAAAAAAGCAGTTTTATTGAAGCAAGCAAACAGCAAATTTCGACCCGACCGGGTCTTTGTCAAGCTACTAGAAACGTTGCTGTTTGGTTGCTCCAATAAAACTACCACCTTGAGTGCCTGAACCACTACTTTATTTCTAATAATGATTTACAACATTTAATATTAATACTTTGATATGTAACTTTCTCAGCTATATTAAGCACTGCCAGGATGCTGAAAGTAATGCGATAATTTAAAATGTATAAATAAAAATGAATCTGTCAATTAAAATAAAAAAAACAACATTGACCTCACTATTTACTACTTTGATTGTGAGAGAAATGTGTGTATATATATATATCTCCTTAGTAAAATAACTATGGTGGTTCCAAAACCAGCCTCTAAGGCACACTAATGGTCCAGGGTTTGTCATGTCAACATAGGAACAGAATTGGGAAATTGTCTAAATCATAGCCAGTTGGTATGGTGTGCCTGAGGACTGGTTTCACAGTCTCAGATGTAAATGTCCACCTCTTTAAACATTCCAAAGAACTGGAGACTCTTGTTCTTGACGAATGGTGGAATAATGGTGAAATAAATGTCCACCTGTTTAAGGTCAGTTTGCAATATCTCTTAAAGACAAAGTACACAGTTTAAGAAATAAAAAAATCAATTCTAAAACTTGTAATATTTGCATTTGCCCATAACAAGTTAATGATGATTCTCATGGTTGAACTAGAAACATGTCAAGTAACCAATGGGTGTCTGTTCACAGATGATTGGGTAAGATTATGGCAGTTGATTACTTTCACTGTAATCAGTTATTAAAGAGACACCGTAGGCGCCATTTATCTCATTAAATTGGTTACCGTGTCTGGAGTTCCCTGGCACTGTCCCCCATTCATTGTTAAACCATTGTCCAGCAATATAACTATAAATGAAAGTCCTTGGCTTCCAACAGTCCAGTCCCCAATGGAGGTGAGACTAAGGCAAGGTTTACTTACTTCAATAGCCATACCAACAATGGTAACAATGGTAGCTGTGAAAGGCTGAAAGTGGTCAGCTGACACCAATAAACACTACCTATTACTGTTCAGGCTAAAACCTCTCTATTATCCCAAGAAGTGCAGATGGGATGCATTTCTGGAGACTCTTGTTTAGCATTAAATGGACACTATAGTCACCAGAACAACTACAGGTTATTATATTTGTTCTGGTGAGTATAATCAGTCACTTCAGGCTTTTTGCAGTAAAGAAAAGTCAGTGTTTACATTACAGCTTAGAGACACCTCCATTAGCCACTTCTCAGATGGCTACTAGAGGTGCTTCCTGGTGCTTACTGATATTCATTGTCTCCACCCTCTGCATGGAGTCACTGAACTTTCCTCATAGAGGAAATTCAATGCATATATATGAGGAGATGCCGATTGGCTAGGGCTGTGATTGGCTCGTGCTGGCTCTGCCCCTGATCTGCCTCCTTGACAATCACAGCCAATCCAGTGCTTTCCTATGGGAAAGCATTGTAGTTGGCTGGGATCACCACTTCTGATTATGTTAGCCATGGAGACAGATCAATGCCAGAGCCAGCAGCAGACTGGAATAAAGGTAAACTTTTACTATACTTACGAGGGCAAGTATGGACCAGGGGAGCTATATGGTGTTTTTAAAGGACCACTATAGTGCCAGGAAAACATTGTAATGGATCACCTGGCACCCCCGACTGGGTACCTCCGTTGAAGGATGCTCCTAGCGCTTCCTGAGGACTCCAAGCACTCTGGCAGACACCACAATCACTGAACCGGAGAAACAAATAAATTCTCCCAAGCATATGAATGCTGTAGACAGTTGAATAGGAACCATACGAATAGGTTTACTCTCCTAGCAGTCAAACTGGAACAGCATACAATGAATCCTTCCCCCAATAATGAGACGACACTTCACTTTGAGGGTTAAAACAGGAACTCCCTGTACTGTCACATACAGTCTCTTTTATTCCCATTCCACAAACATAGTACAGCCCACAGGGCGTTACAAAACAACCAATCAATCCGTACAATACACCCAGACACTCCCACACAAAATCCTCCCCTCTGCAGGTGATATGATTACTGAACACAATGGGTAATCTCATTATCACCGGCAGAGGAATACAGTTTTTACACAATATTTCTAACTTCTAAAATATACATGTCACAAACATAAAACATACATTTTCATAATCAATCCATTCAGGGCAACAACATATTAAAAAATGGCACGAATCAGACCAGGGGTTCAAAAGTTAAGGGAAAGTCCTTTGTGACTAAATGAAGCATGGCTTTCTGGCCCAAACCAGTTTCAGAGTCTTCTATCCTGGAGAGTAATTCAATTATCTCCCAGGACAGACACAAGACTCCATTAAGCACATGGTTGCAAAAAGACACAAAACACTTTAAAATACATAAAGTAACCTTTTCACATAACACATAGACATTTCACATATCCCCAGATAGCTGGGATCTGAGCGCACAAAACTACTGAAGAGCGCTCAGATCCTATTCACACAGTTCAATTGCCATGGAGCCGAAGTCTTTAACTACACAAATGGGCTCCATGGCATAGCTATCTGGGTTAACACATTCACATAAAGTCTGGTCCATAGTCCAAAGGCAAGAGGCGGGCAAGCAGCCCCCTCCAAGGACACGTGGCGAGGCCGGTTTCGCCACAAACATACTCGTTTTCCTGGCACTATAGTACCCTGAGGGTGCCCCCACCCTCAGGGTCCCCCTCCCTCCGGGCTCTGGGGAGAGGAAAGGGGTTAAAACTTACCTTTCTCCAGCGCCGGGCGGGGAGCTCTCCTCCTCCGATCCTCCTCCTCTCCTCCCTTTCGGCTGAATGCGCACACGAGGCAAGAGCTGCGCGTGCATTCAGCCGGTCGCTTGCGTGTATGGACGCTTGCATGTTCTCACTGTGATTTTCACAGTGAGAAGCACGCAAGCGCCTCTAGCAGCTGTCAATGAGACAGCCACTAGAGGATTTGAGGGCTGCTATGTTTATAAAAAAATGGGTTAACCCTAGCTGGACCTGGCACCCAGACCACTTCATTAAGCTGAAGTGGTCTGGGTGCCTAGAGTGGTCCTTTAACACTATAGGGTCAGGAATACATGTTTGTGTTCCTGACCCTATAGTGTTCCTTTAAAATTATGCAGTGCAGTTATAAATAGAGCCACAAGATGGTGATCTAAAATTATTTTATAATTCTACATGTTGTAAAGAAATGCTATACACAGCACAATTTTTGGTTATTGTCCCTGTTTCAAATAATAGAAAACACATTTTATATATACTGTACATTGCAATGTATCACTGTTGACTACTCTGAGTTGTTTCTCTGTGTCTATAGTACAGGTCCTGCATTAAAAGGGCTATTTTGTATTATTAACACATTAAACCATTGCAACAGACTCCATTAGTGATCCATTTTCTGGGAGCCCAGGATGTTCTGCAGATGACTGTAGGCTAAAGAATGGCTTCATTGTATCTGACCTGAGGTCAGTAAGGAGAAGAATATTAGTATTTAGTATTCCTAAGAGAACCAATCATAATGCAGAATACTGGTTTATTTTAAAGTGCTATCCTGAAAAAGTTACATCCCAATTTATTTACATCAATTTAAGGAAATTTACAAGATCTAAAAAACCTTGTTTTATTCAAGTATATACTTAAAAAAACAAACAAACAAATGAAAACATAGAAAATATATATATATATATATATTTAATAAATATTCTGTATTTCTGGAAAAACTTAAAAGTGACACTGCCATTTTAATTCATACTCTATGTATTAAGTTGTTATTTTTCTTTTTTTTTTTTTTTAAATTTTATTGTTTCAATAGATAATGTGGGGTTACAGAAAGCAAAACTAGGGTAGGGGAAAAAAGTAAACGTGAATGGTACATAGTTTGAAAGCATACAGTAGTCCAGGCGATTAAACCTCGTAAGCCATATTAGTTCCTTTCCACATATCTAAGTAAATAATTTGATATAATTATCATTATTTTTATTAATAGCTCTAACTGCACAGAGATTCCACACACTCATACTTTACTGGTTATAATAATACAAAATATATCTCAGAACCCTTACTCCATTGTACAATCTGTCCTCCGTATTTTACCCTATCCATTATATTTTTATTTATCCTTTCTTCTCTCAGGGTTTCTGCACACTCTACACTACATTTTTAACTAGACTATACCTGGTTCCATAGGGAGGCATTTCAAAGAGAGTGTTTTTTTTCATGTGTTCCAATCTCTCCCTGTTTCAGAGCATCAGGGAACAATTTGACATCATCATTATAGTTGTTCTCTGAGCATGGATTTGCTAGTACACATGAAGGAGCAGATATTGCTGGCCCAGCCAAGGGCATACCTTCAACATTTCAAATGGTCAAAGAGGACAAGGTGACACTGTATGTTTAGCAGTATGAGTGAGAGTGTGTCCAGGGAGCAATGTACTTTTTTACAGCACAGACTGATTTCTAAAAGTGAGAAGTGAAAGTGGATTCAAAATCAGAGAGTTTGAAATTTAAGGTCAAAATGGCCAAACTGGCTATTAATAAAAATCACAAGTTCAGCTACCGTTGACTTAAATTTGAAAATCACTTTGAATTCTCACTTTAGTACATAATCATGTGTGAGTATTATTGCTGTAGATGTTTTTTATAGATTGACACAACCCAGCAATGTGGAACTCTTAGAAAAAAGGACAATTGGATAGAAAAGAGAAATAGAGGGATTGGAATCCAAAATAGGGACCTTCCTAAATAGGGACACTTGGGAGGTATGCAGTTGATGTTGTTTATGTCCCCGACCAGCCTATTTCTTCATACAGTAATTGTGCAGGTTGTTGTTTGAAGCTGATGTAAAAGGCTTTTACTGCTCATTACCGGTTTAGGTAATAAACATATATTAGCTTTTAGCATGCCGATGGGGAGTTGAGTGCCCTAAAACATTAAAGAGGTTGCATAAATGGGGGAGCAATAGTAAGGAATATGTTTTATAATAAAGGACAGAGAAACTGTCCAGTCCGCGGAGTTTTTCTGATTGAGAACTTTGATAGCATCTGCTATATCTACAGCAAGCTGTTCTGCTGCTTCTCTTGTGAGAGAGGGGAGAGATATCCTGGCCAAGAAATCCTGTATGATCAATATAAATATGGTTGGAAATTCCCATATTTGGGGAGTGTGGTCATATAGACTTATAAAATAAGTTTGGAAAGTCTTGGCTATTTTAGAGGAGATGTTGGTCAGAGTCCGCTGGGTGGTTTTAGTCTAGTTGATTTGTTTGGATTGCATTTGTCTTCTAGGTCTCCGGGCTAGTAAGTCAGTTTTATTAGAGTAGGATTACTTTTACACCTACGTTCTAGAGATCAAATAGTCTTAAGGTTGTCTGTTTTTTATGAGCTGACACTATTTTATTGATTTTCCTTCAGTGGGCTGCCCACAAAGTGGCAGGGGAATTTAGTTGCCAGGACCAAAGGCGAGAGATATGAGTAGGTGTCATTATGATGGAGATATCAAAATGTTCAGACCAGGAAATGGTGCCAACAGAGGAAGACCTAACCAGAGGATAAAAGCAGGTGAAATGAGAAATAGGTTTATGTGCGAGTATAATTGGTAAGGCCAAAGTAGTGGAACTTAAAGTATAGATTACTTTTTCCAGCTTGGCTTTTGTGGCCTTAAATTTGAAATGTAATTCTCGCATTAGTGAATAACCCTAATAAAGTCTCCAAGCAACTAAATCAATTACCAATTTCATAAAGAATTTATTTAAATATAGTTTCGTTGGGTATGTTTTGCAGAGTTTAAAAGGGTAGTATATGCACCATAACTACTCTATGTTGTTTTAGTGATTATGAAGTTTTGAGATTATTGATGCCATCATTTTGGTCTTGGTCAAACCATATTCAAGAGGGAAAAACAGGGATCCGCAAGGCACCCAGGACCTGCCCAATCATTTATATGAGTGATTTCCTTATGGTCTATATATAGAGCAGAAGATTATAATATAATATTTACTAAATGCAGAACTGCAGTGAATTTAACACCCAAATAAAAAATGTTGGCTAAAATATCCATGATGCGACTATAGTTTTGTTAAATAATTTTTCCAAACAGTGTATTTTTGCCTAAATTTAGTAATTCAATTTTCATTTATTAGAATTTGTGTGAGTATTGAAAATATTTCCAAGAATTTCAATGTAACAGATCAGCAGCTTTTTAGTTTTTTTTTAATGCATGAGAGGTAAGGTTTACAAATGGTTAAATATATTGCAGAATAAGAGAAGTCTCAATTGAAATGTTTCCTTTATTGCTTGAAATGGAAAAACAGAAGTAATTTGCTCTTATAGTATTGCCTCTGATACCGTTATATTGAGTGTGGTGTCAGATAACATGAGATTTGCAAGACGAATTGTGCCTCCCTGGGTCATAGTGTAAGCAGGAATTAAGTGCTACATGTTATCATTATTTTACAGAATTGGCTGAATTAAACTGTGTTAGTTTGTATTGTTTATTTATTAAGACTTGGGTCTGTAGTACTCTCAAAAAGTGGCAGAACTAGCACAGAAATAGAAATGCTCCCAGTCTAAAGTTTCCGACAGTGAATTGCATCATATAGTATGACCTTCAAACAGTTATACGTTAGTAAACCCAGTATGCCACAGACATTTTCACCAAATTTAATTCTGAACCTAAGTCATCCTATCTGGGATTCTGATTAGATAGTGCCAGATGGTCTGGGCTTTACAGCTCATTACTGCCCCTCCTGGCTGTGCAGCACACTCTTGGTTGAAGGACAATAAAGGAGGAATATGTATCACTGCCCACTCCCCTATTAAATTACCCCTCAATCCATTATTACCCTGCACCTCTTCTTATTGCTTCCTTAGTATTGTAAAAGACCTGCATTTTACATTTTTTAACAGGAATTTCCATGAAAATATTCATGACGGCAATTTCAACATAAAGAATGAGTATCCAATGCTGGTTCATAAAAACCTACATGTCAAGGGGATATCCACTCTATGTGTTACATACTGTTGTCTGGTCAGGTACTCACCTTGTATCCTTGAGACTGAATGAAATGGATCGGACATTCCAACCCAATGTAATATGTAATGGATATTCCCTGCAGTACCTAAATGTGCATGTTTCAGCATGTCAAAAATATGACATGTGCCAAGGAAATTTTAAGGACTTTTATCACAAACACAAAACTGTAACAAATATTTAAGTAAAAAATCTAAGATCTTCATTGAGAGCATGATTTCATGTTCATTGCACAAGTGTCTATAGACAAGTGGTCACCATTTATTTTCTTTAGCTGTGAAGATCTACTTGATAGTACTACTGTGATGGTAGTCACCATCACTGGGAACATAAGATGGACACTTCAATTAGATCCCTAGATGACTCGTATGTTTAAGTCACCCTGTGCCCCTTGTAGGTGCAGGGTGTGTGCAATGTATGTGTATTATGTATTTATTGTTAATTGTTTTGTGCTCTCCTGTCCTGCTGATGCTTGCTACCAACTAGAAGGATTTTGGCTATGGAGCCTGTATAGCACAACCTGTTGGTTGCAGCAACAGCTATATGCACTACATGAATAGCAAGGCTGGCTAATTTGCATATTCAGGTAGATTTGTAGATGTTTTGTGTTAATTATTGTCTTTCCCACCAATTTATAAAAATGTCATTATGTTATTATAAGTTCCTGTATGTTGTCTAATGTGAATTCAGTATTTTATTGAGTTTTCACAATAAGCTTAATGTAATCATTATATGGGCTAGTTCGAAGAAAAATAAAGTTTAGTATGTCTGTCTCTTTTGGAACTTGTGTCCTGTGTGGATTTGTAGGGATCCTAGTGACAGAGTCTTCAGACCTGTTTGCTGGTTGCAGGATCTCTCTCGCTCTGGGATAAATCAAAAGAGCTAAGCCTGATAGCCGCAGCTGCCTTTGTAAAGGCAATAACTATAATCACTGTAAGAAGGACTGTAGCGGAATAGGCAGAGGGGTCAATACCTGCCTGGAAGGAGCGCTGCTGCCTGGTCTAATGCAGACACTGCAGAAGGACCTCAGTCAAGCTGCGGCGACTGGGGCAGAAGCATTCCAGGGTCCCTGCAAGCGGCTAGGAAGTGGACTTGGTGGAGGTACCGAACCGGGGTTCAGGGAGCTTTTTCACAACTACTATGCAGGAAGCTGTTCAGATTCAGCAGATTTACTTCTGACAGTCAATTCAAAGACATCTGAAGTTTCAATTTAGTTTGCAAAGTCTCAATTTAGAGACATTTAATAGATCTCATTAGATGCATTAGGTGTAGTGATGTCCCGGACGGATCGCCGAACGGTTCGCGAACGGTTCGCCACTAATGGTTCGCCGCAGACTCATCATTGAGTAAACGTTGACCCTGTACCTCACAGTCAGCAGACACATTCCAGCCAATCAGCAGCAGACCCTCCCTCCCAGATGCTGTCCAGGAGGTGGGAGGGTCTGGGAGGGAGGGTCTGCTGCTGCTTGGCTGGAATGTGTCTGCTGACTGTGAGGTACAGGGTCAAAATTTACTCAATGATGAGTCCGTGGCGAACCGTTCGTGGCGAACCGTTCGCGAACCTTTCGTGGCGAACCGTTCACGAACCGTTTGGCGAACCGTTCGGGGCATCACTAATTAGGTGCATTGAGTGCAGATTTATTGAGTTTTAAATCCTGAAATATCACAATCAATTAATAAAAACTAAACTAAGACGTCTTCTCCATGTTAATTTTAACAAAATCACAAGAATTTCAAGAAACATTTTTAGATGCTTTTAATATAAAGTAAAAAAGTACAAATAAAACCCAAACGGTAAATAACAAAATAACAATATAATATATCTATACAAGGCCATAGCTCTATTCTTGCCCTTCCGTGTCCTTTAAATTTGCTCTTTAAAGAGCAGCCTTAATATCCCATGATAATTTCCATTAAAGTGTGTGATTAAAATGAAATTATTTTACATAGATCAGCTAGCATTACTTTCTAATATGCATATATTTTAAAGGGGATCTGGTGAGCAGGAAAAATTCCAGTCTATTTATAATTAGTGCACGGTAGATAGCTTTATACCTACACACATTTATAAATATCACTTCTTGGATTCAGTGATTGCCGAGCTTAAAATGCCAACCATGTGCAGCCAAGCATGGACTGGTCCTACGCATGAATGATTAGAGTTACAGCTATGGATTTCAGATCCTCTGTTTTTACTACCAGCAATATTCAAATACCTACTGAAATTAAATTTTTTAAAGTACCTGCGTAAGTTTAAAGGAACACTCCAGGCACCATAATCACTACAGCTTAATATAGTGATTATGGTGCCAGGAGTGTCTTGGTACCTCTCAAGGATTTAAGCTGTTTTTGAATCGTTTGACATCTTACCTATTGTCGGCCGGGCGCTGTTCCAAACCTACTGTACAATCTTTCCAGATCCAGATGTTCCCAAGCAGGAACTTCCAGAGCTAAATCCAGCAATGTAATGTAGAACATGAGCTGACCAATGCAGAAGCTCTTAGCAAATTCTTGCAACTTTCAGCTCTCGAGAGATGCTCGTGGTGGGCTTGAGGGATCTCCCAGCGGACCCAGGTAAAAAGTCAAACCATTCAAACATCAAGCTTCAGTGGTTATGGTGCCTGGAGTGTTCCTTTAATGTAGGGATTTCAAATTCAATCCTATAAATGTTGGGTCTGGATGCTAGTTTCTGAAATATGTTTATCGATAGTAATCCAACACCTTCATTAAACTCTTCCCAATGTTAAAGATCCTGCATTGCTCTCAGTAAGGCAGTGCTGCTACGGTATAGTGCAGGGGTTCCCAACCCAGTTCTCAAGTCCACCAGTTTTTTCCACTTCTTGTAGCTTAAGCACTTTGATTCCAAAGAGTGTGTGAAGTAGGCGGCACTGCAGATTTCCACTTTAAAAAAAACAAAAAAACCTATGCAAGGCTGGGACAGGGCAAAAAGGTCTGATATCACTGATTTATAATGCAATCTGCATGGGATCAACATACGAGGAAGAGTTAACGAGGAGCAAGAGGGATGCATTTGGGAAGACATTTGGGAAGACATTTGGGAGGCCCCTGGGAAGGTCTCAGTGTGTGTAGGAATGCAGGTGGAAACAGGTGGTTAAGATGGTAATGAGGTGCTATACCACCCTGAATAAGCTCGGCAGAATAGTGAAAAGCACTAATGATCTGTGCTGGCGTTTCTGTGGAGTAAAGGGTTCATATCTCCACATGTAGTGGGATTGTGCAAAATGAAAACCATTCTGGCAGGACGTCTGTGACCTACTATTTGACAGATCATTTTCAGGCTAGATCTCAAAAATAGTTTAACAAAATCACTTTGGCTGCAATGTGTCCCTGGCTGTAAAGTGGCTGGGGGACACTGCCCCTAGCATGGCTGAAGTTATTCACAAGATCCAAGAGTCTTGCCTCATGGATAAACTAACAGCCATAGTACACAATGCTACTAAGTCATTTGAACAGGTCTGGGCTCCTTGGGTGGAATGGGAGGTGGGACGGCTGATGGGCCAAGTTCTATACGTTGGCTGGTTTTCTTTTCCCTCCTCCGTTAATCCTATGTGCACGAAAGTGCCCGTCACACTACGGTAATTAAGTAACACCACAGCGTTACGGATAATGCCACATTTATGTACGTAGTTTACTCCCTGGGGTTGTGGGTAAGAGGAGGAGGCAGCCTACTGAACCAATATTGTACGCCTATCATTATATGTGGTTTGACACTAATTTGATGCACATAATACTGTATTTCCATTGTTATAGAAATGTGTTTTGTTTTTTACTGAAAACCTGAACATGATATCTAATTCTATTTTATTTATACTGTATACTTTCGGATGGTGTCTGTGTTAAAAAAACTAAAATAAAAAATAAAAATAAATAGCAATTACAATTTATATGGCAACCATGTGTTTATTGTCACATTGTTGACATACTGAAACATACACATTTAAGTACATGTTAACATAATGTGAACATTCAAAATTTAAATTGCATGTTAGACGACGTTACCTTAATGTAAATAATAATGTGATAATGTTTCTTGTATTTTCCAGTAGATCTTGTCATTCATTAAAATAGAATCTTCTAAACATGTCAACAACATGAATAATTAACTAAAACACCTGTCTCGTCATCTTCTAACTGTAACGCTGTCGGTGTTCTGAAACAGCATGAAAGCAAAGAGTAAAACATTTCATTTTAGCTCTTGTCAACGTGAAGGGAAGATCACAGACAATGGATCTGACTAGCAGTGTCTGCTCAATTATACAAGTAAGGCTCCCGTGGAAACATGATATGCAAATATATAGGCAATCTTTATACTAGGGATGTTGTAATCCACGAGGATTTGAATTGTTTACGTCCCATCGTCAAGCCGCATGAAATCATGTTTTTCCTTACTACAATAACCCCTTTCCACAAACATGAATATTAAAGGGAATTTATACTGACATCTCTCTTACTGGAAGGAGTGTTTTGTTACAATAATAGCTGTGTTAACATTTCAACATTACAAAAGGTCCCACGAATGTGTCCTTGGTTCACGTAAGGATTTAAAGCAATTTGAACAGCTAGGTCAATTTGTAGAGCTATTCAATAATAGACCAGAAATTAGCAAATTTTAGACTATAATAGTTGAGCAAAAAAAAATAGAACTGGTGTTTTTTTTTCCAATTTGGGTATTTTAACCTATAATCTGAACTTCCCTGGACAATTCAAGACAATTTCCTCTTCTTCTGATATGTATTTTTTAGAAGGAAATCTATAACTGGCCTTAAATTTAAAGGCCCAGTCTAGGCAGCCAGATTACATCTCAAAAATGGTCTGGGCTCAGTGCCCCTGACGTTTTGCTCCTGTAATGTAAAACATTGTATTTATGGAAAATTTTCATTGCAATCCTTAACACACCACTA